AAAAAAAAAGTGAAATGAGGCTACAACAACAAATGAAAACACAGAATGGTTAAGACTGAAATTGATGTCTTGCTCTTCATTTTTCAAAGTAATGTTTAAAGGATCTTCAATGATTTCTATATTCTGTACAGTTACAGTATGTTTGAATTTAGGTACCAGACCAAGAAACATCTCTACTCTCACTGAAATGTCCCTTTTGAACAAGGACGAAAAGCAGATGCCAGAAAACTTGTATTTAACATCAGCTTGAAAGTTGATTAAATCAACAAACATACCTGGTAAAAAAGAATCACATCTTGAAACACACATTTTAGCCTCAATCAGAAATCAGTGTGCTAAATTCCTGACTACATTCCTGCGGAATTCCGATACTACAGCCAGCATGGTACTGTTTCAACTTACCAACAGCTAAATAATCAGCACTGCCAAAAACAGCAAGAAATTTCAGCTCACCACTAAAGCCTATGATAACACAAGGTACTGCTGAGAACACCTGTCCCAAACTCTTCTCTTACATTTAGGACAGCTTTGGTTTAGTAGAATCCATCATTAAAGTTAAAGCTAATGAATTTTACTTCCTATATTCTGGTGTGTTTCCTTTATAGCAGTGGAAAGTGTATCTCCAAAATAATCTTGAAGCAGAGGCTAAAACCAGCCAGCAGAGCTTCTGCCAGAACTCAGAATTCTGTCGCAGGACTGATGACTGACGCCAGCCATTAATAATCAATTTTATATTTTATCACTCAGGAGTGATTAAAAGCAGCCACCCTGTCTCACTGCTGCAGAAGCAGCCATAAGGCAGGGGATTAATAAAGCAGGAATCAAGATTTTGAAACAGGACTTGCTGGATGATACACCTTCCAAAAGGCTACTGTCTCCCAAGAAATTCCCAACTGGAAACAAGTGATTTTTATTGGGCATAACCACACAATTTGACTCGTTGCAATTCCAAGATACCCAAGTCCTTTCTTCAACACTATGTTATCTTGGATCTTGAGACAATAATGAAAAGGTGCCTGCCAAGTCACCCTTATGAGGGTGGTAGCTGACTACACAAGTATTCCCTGGAAAGAGCAGACTGCAGGTAAGCCAGTCAACATCAGAAGAGAGAAAGGTTACTGAAGTCCTTCTGGGCAAAGGATAAATGGCCACAGGCTCTGAATGGAGGTATGCTGGTGGATGCCTGCTGTATCTGGAAAGGGCTGGAGGAGGCCACGGTGTAGGTCTGAGCAGTCCTGGTGGCTCTCCTGTCTTGAAAATATTTAAACCTTGGGAACAGGCCTGTAGGAGCGTGAGGTGAAAAGTTCAGAATGTGAAGGCCACCACCTGTAGCAGTGCTGGAGCGCAGCCGGTGCTTAAGATCCTTCCACATCACTTAGTGTACTAAGATCTAAATTCTCCTCATGAGAATACCCTCTCAAAAATCCGATTCACTTTCATCTTCTCTTCTGCTTTTCTTAATCAGCCTTAACCCATGGCACCCGTGCACACACAGACTATGGTATGTTTGAAGAATGTGACAGTGCAATTTCCACAAAAGATTAGTAATGATCATAGGTGTTCGAGATACCTGATAACCTGCAGAACAGCGAGAACAATCCCAGAGATCCGTGGGATCCAATGTTCAGTTCCAAAAGAAGCTTGTGTACCAACACAGAAAAAGAAATGACTGAAGACTTTCCAAGATGGAGATGAGGATACAGATTCCTCCCCTTCAAGTTCCATCAGAAGCAGGCTGGGAATGGCCTGATTTTGCACCAGAGCTTAAGAGGACCACATCATGGTCTCCTCACTAGGGCAGTTCCACTGCTCATCATTCCACTAGCATTCAAGCCAGCAAGGCAGTTTGACACCAGAACAGTTTTTGGTGTTGGTTTTGTTTGGTTGGTTTTCCTTTTTTCTTTTCTTCTCTCTTCAGTAACGGATGATCCTTGGAATGGGCACTGAAGCTTGCTGACAGGCCTTCACAGATCCATTGCCTTGAGATTCCTTAGAGGACCTGTGGGATCCTAAGGAATGATGGTTCTGTCTCCTCTTCTCAATCTCTTGACACTGAGGAAGAACGGTGCAGAAAAAAGACTAAGCCCACACCATTTTCCTTGTCTACTATACTGACCAAACTGTAAAGATGGAACAATTTCATCAACCCACGGATCTCTGAAAACCAGAAGGAAGAAATAGATAACTTACAGCTAAACATCATTACATATCCATCCAGTCAGCCCTGATCTACAATGATCCGTGTTGCCTAATACCAGGAAAGCTTTCAACCTTAAGAGATGAAGAATTCAACTTTTCCTTCAGTTGCATGTTGAACCAACCATGTTTATTTGCACCAATTCCTGCTTACTAGTTCAGCTTCCAGCAATTGATTCTGGTATGCCACTACAGGACTAGACAGTCTTCTGACAAAGGACTTGGCTGAATCTTTTCAGCATCATCAACAGAACCTGGGTTTTTGGTTTGGTGTTTGGTTTTTTTTTTTTTTTTTGGTTTTGTTTATAAAGGGAACAACTTACAGTGACAGCATAAAACACATTATCTGGGATGCAAGACAACAGAAGTGATACAAAGAATCAGCCATCCTCTTAGCCACTGTGAAGAATGTGGCAATGTTTGCTGCTAAACTTTCAACAGCAAAAGGGCATCTTGTCACCACATGGCCACTCCGTGTACACATGCTAAGCCCAAGCCTGAAGTAGGTGTGCATATCTCAGCTAACTTTGTTGCCTCTTTCTGATACTTAACGTCAAGTCATACTAAAGACACATTATACTCTTCCCTTTAATAAAAAAAATGATCTCTCCCTTCTGAAATAGTGCTTTTTGTCCAAGACGACATGTTACCAGACCTGGACAAAGCAACCTTGCAGTCTGTCTTCTTGGTCAATCCCTTTAGCACTAAGGACTTAACACTGACAAGTCTTGATGTGTTTTGAAAGCTTCAGGACTTAAGGATATTTAAGTGTTGCAGCTATTCACATTAAAACAACACACTGTCCAATAAAAAAAAAGAGATAGAGAACTAAAATCATACCATCACACCTTTGAAGATAGATCACTGTGCCCACAAACCCACCTCTTTATTCAATCAATACACAGTATTCCACAGTAATTGCTCTCTACCTGCTTGATGTGCAGTCATGACTACAGATTTCACACTCAATGTTTTTAATTTGTAATTAATTTTTTATTTATGGTCTTTTTTTAATGAGGTACAAAGATCTTGTGTTCACAGCCCATACCACCTCCAGGAGGGGCATATGCTGACAAAAATTCCATCTGCATATAGATAGACTAAGGAGTGCAGCTACTCCAGCGAGTAGGTTTTCAAGCAGCAGATACGTCGGACTCACTTTGCACCAGTCCTTCAGGTATGTTGATTTTTCTGCCCTTAATGGAGTGTTCAGATTAAGACTTGGTATCATTTTAGAATTCTAAGTATTTTGTTAAAGTGGGCTGTCATTAAACACCAGCTTTAAATGGCCAAATTTAAAAATGAGCACATCCCTTCAAAGTATGAATTTTGTCAGTATGTAGAAGTAGCATATGAAACAGAAAGGAAAAAGCTTAATTGTCTTAAAGAGCGGTCATCTACCTGTGAGTAAAGGAAACGAAGTTTGTGTAGCAGTATGCCCTTCCTCTTGCAGGCTCCACAGCTGCAGCACTTCCCCCCCCAGCCCTCCTGCAGCCCCACGCACCCGCCAGGAGTGCAGGGGCTCACACAAACCAGGGAAATACCTGCTCTTGGTTAGACTGACCAACAGCTAAGAAAATCCAAGGCAAAACCCTACATATCTGCTGATGCAGACTACTGAGATTTCAGATGCAATTAGACAGGCACCAAGTCATGACCAAGTCTGGACAGAAAGCAAAGAATCATTATCTGACAGAAAGCAAAGAATCATTATCTTATAGCAAGAACAGCAATAAAGCTACTTTATATGCAAATATAAAGTTACAGCAACATTCCTGCTCAGAACCAAACTCTGAATACACTACACCAGTAATTACTGTAAAATGAGATACTTTCCCTTCTAAGAGCAACTTTCATTCTAGAGTTACTACAAAACAGGTCTACAGATCTAGTTAACATTAGTTGTACCTAACTTTCCTGTATTTTATGGAGGGGGGAAAAAAACACCACCCCAAAAAAAACCCCAAGCCACCAAACTTTAAGGCATTTAACTTTGAAACTTTCACTCCAAAACCAGCCAATGACCAAAGACTAACAATCGTGACCTAGTAATTTCCCCAACACTTTTATATTAAGGAACACAAAGTGAAAAGCTTTAGGTGCTTTTTTAACTGGTTCCTAACTTTTCCATGCATCATCTTATGAGGACTTTTTTCTTTTTTAAAGCTCAAATTAGAGGTGGTCCAAAATTCAACCCAAAATATTAAAAAACCAAAATAAGTTTCTAGCCAGAGTCACATTAATGAGCTGCATGAGGATGTGATTCTTTAACAAAAGGTTTGGGGGTTTGTACTACCATCCAAACCAAGTATGTACACGCTGCTCCAGAAAAATCAGTTAGTCACATCTTGAAGGATTTGCCCACAACAGCAGACCTGCTACACGCTCTCTTCATCCCTCAGTTCATCACTTAAAAATATTTGCTACAACAGAAAGCTAGCATTAGCCATCAGCCAACATGCAGACTAAAAGTGAGCTGGTACAGCTGCTTCACAGTGAAAATAATCAACACAAACCAGTACTAAGTAGCTGGCTATTCAATTTTCAACTACTGCTTCTGTCATTTGAGAAAACATGGAACAGACATTATTAAAATCAATGCTAATAAGAAAGCAAAAAACCATGAAGAACAGAACCTAACTCTTCAACAAACTCTAAAGGTTAATATCAAGCTTTTAGTAATTAGCTTTAAACACTCTTTGGATAACATGGTTGGTGAAGATCATATTAGACAAATGACATAACCTTCAAATTTTTCTAGAAAGATAAAAAAGGACTCACAGAAGCGGTTAAAAGTCACTGACCTCTCACTAATTGCGTACATTTCACAACATCTGTGTGTGGATGTTCAATGGTAATCTCAAAACCTGAAGAGTTATGAATACATTTTAGAATGATACATTTGCATTTATAAATTAAAACCCCACACCCTTTTAGTTTCCTCCCAGACCTGAAATGCTTGCTGACCCTTGGCACTGCAGATGGAACAACCCTATTTAACTGCCTTTGACTCTGCAGCACTTTGTATTTCAGAATGGCTGATGGTGTAGTCACTTCAGGATCAATCAGGAAAACATTCCTTCAATAAGCTCATCATATATATAAATAAAAATACAATAACTTCCCCAGTTAAAGTTGAATATAAGTGAACAGTTTCTAGTACATTAACAAGTCAGTAAAAGCTGTACGCAGACACTGAAATACATGTGCATGCACATGCACTTTACTGATTTCTAGAGATTAAACATGTTGCATCTATGAAATTACAAGTTAAGTTTTAGTTCAGTGACTTAAGAAACCTTATTTATGATGCTATTTTAAGAATTAGGTCACTACCGTTAGCTTTTTTTTTTTTAAAACAAAATACTCAAAAGTGCTATTTAAGAATATCTGAGTTAAGTCAGTGTTCTCAGGCCTGCTAGCTCTAAGTGCCTCTACTTATGTTACTTTAAAGACAGACGTTTCCTATCAGATCATTCCATTTCAAGTTTTGGAATCGCCTGAATCTTGGTTACACGACAAGTTGTGATGTTCAGAGGTAGGAACCCTGCTCAGTAACCTAACCTTTTTTTATATAAAATAACTTTTTTTATTGAAAGGTAAAATGGGGAAGAGCACTTGGGATAAAGCTCTTCCCAACTGCTTCAGAACACCTACACAGCTCACCCAGTATGTTACCTTAGATGAAGAAATATCAGTGTAGTTACTACTTTGGACTAAAATCTATTTGGAAGGGTACACATTTCTACCCCATCAAAGTGTGAGAAACATGCATTTCACAAGTACAGATCTACCTTTTTTTCTCCAAAGTGAACACAATGGAACTGCTAATACAAAACTCAATTCACAGGTCAGAAGTTGACCGCAAAAATAGTAAAATTCTAGTGTATCAACAGCACATCCAAAACCCAGTTCCTTGGGTCCCATTATTTCTTCATGGTAAGTTGGCTGCACAGGAGATATTTAGAAAGACGTACCTAAAGTCTGAAGCATTATTGTTTCAAGTATAACCAGCTCTTGGGCTTGCTGAAGGTATGCCTGAAACAAATAAGCAAACAGGTCAAGACGTAGCTATTGTCTCAAAAGTTTAATCATCCGCTTCCTACTTGAATACTGGTACTAGCAAGACCAACTAAGACCACCACCCAAGCTGGTTAGAACAAGTTAGAACACCAACCTCCCCCCCACCCCCCGACGTGTCATTCCAAGAACTGGGAGCATAGCAAAGGTGCTCAAATCATTTTATACATCAGCTGAGGTCCAGCAGGGTAGAGCTAGCTCAGCCTGACCTTCAGGCTGAACTACTCTGGTGCATTTCCACCAGACATCCTATGATTGGTTTCAGGAAGACTCATCTTGGGAAAGAAAATATGAAGTATAAAGTAAGTGGAAGCTCTACAAGTTCTGGCAGATGAAAGGAAGACCAATGTATGGCATAGGCACCAGCTGACAACTGCACTGGATCCTTTAAAACACAACACAGACAGCGGTGTTTGTTAAAAAAACCAAACCCTTATATGGTGTAAAAAACAAAAGTATTTTTTCTAGTTTGCAGACAGCAATAATCCAGTTAAGACAATGTAACAGATCATTAGATGAAGTGTCATCTAATTATCTTTAAAATCATGACTTCCACCTACATCACTCTTTGTATCCAGTTGTGGCTCTTGAGGATGAAGACAGGCATGTGCTACTTTAATAACATGTTCAAGTTTCCGTGGCTGTTCTTCCACTTTTGCAGCCAAAAACAATGCCGTAGGAGATATTATCTGAAGGAAAAAAGACAGGTATGCATTTAAAAACTTTTTACAAGCAGGACATGAATTTTTATGGAGAGTCTATACTGGTAGTTAGAAAAAGTGGATCCAATCCAGCTGGACTTGCTTGTGGGTTTTGTTTGGTTGATTTTTTTTTTTTTAAAACAGTTCTGAAACCATGCAAGGCAGCAAAAATAACTAGTCATGTTTCATTTTATAACCAATGCAATCCTTTCAGCACAGAGCAGGAGTAGCATAAATGCTAAATTACACTTGTGAGTAAGAAGTCTGAGGTCAAACTAATTCTAGTTCAGCATAAAAAGAACGGATTTGGTCCACAGGATTTAGTCACACTAGAACAAGATGTTTCAAATTAAATGTGCTTCGTGAGAAAGTTCGTCTGATTTCTTGCACAATACTGAGCCATTACACCATCTTTTTGGTAAAAGTCAAAACAACTGATCAGAAGTTCTGCTAGCATTTGATGGTCCTAAAAATCAAGAAATTTTGTAGGAACTTTTAAGGAAAACAACTTGTTACAGACATCTAATTTGTGTAAGTATAAGCTCACTCTTAGAAACGTCACTATATACCCAACAGTATCTGGTGAACATGGTTCAAGGATTCACGAAAAAGCAAAAGTTAGCAAAGACTACAAATTACATTTAAAGATGAGAATTAATAGAACCCTAAGTGTCATAAGCTGGCAGCAAAGCACCCATTCACAGCTCAGTACCACCTAGGAGTTTCTATGAAGCAGTTTGGATGCCTAATTGTCAATTAGAATGACTGATGTCTCTATATACAGAGCATGGCTAACCATAAATGGCTTACAAGAATCAAGGTCCTCCTTGTGCGCAGAAGTCATCCACATTAAACAGGGATTAAAATGACAGTAGAAATCATCATGAAATAGCTGCTTGTTGATTATTTAATTAGTGCATGGTGCAAGCAGTGCAGGTATTGGATTTCTCATTCAGTGCTGGCCTGGTGATACCATTTGCTGCACAGAAACGTGCCATGAAGAAATCTGGTACTCTTAAACCTCAACTATCCAAAATAAGTCACAGGGAATAAATTCTTCCACAACAGGGACAAAAGAACTGCTTCTCTGCACTGAAGCTTCACTTCACTTCAAAAAAGGCCTTCTTCATCAGGCTGACTTCAGGATATTTTCTAATCTACTGAAATAGATCAGGTCTAGCCAGGGAGTCTCCACACAATTCCTGATCTCCAAGACCTTAAAAAAACATATTTCTGGAGGCTAAGTCAAACTGATTAACTGGTATTTAACTCCATTTCATCACAAATCTACATACACCCCAGTTATCCATCTCTAAGAAGCAGCGCTGGCTTCTGGCCAAAGAATTTCAGGTCTTTGTCTTGCTTGGCATTCCCGGTTTAGAGCAGGTCAGTATTTTTATCTCTCGTTATAAGAAAGGGAGACAGGAAAATACAGACATCCTAATAAAATTTCAGACTTGGCATGCTTACAGTCTTCAGCAGACGACACACCCTGCTAGGCATGCAACTGGCAAAGTTACTCAACTACTTCTATTCAATTCCAGTTCTCAAAAATGAGAGAAAAAGCAAAGTAGAGCAAAAAAAGCAAAATTCAAGACAGAGACTTGACAAAGCTCTACGCTATATGTAAACATAAAACATAAATAATTTCCATGCACTCAAAATATTAAGACTTTGAAAAAATCGCCAGAAGTATACACATGATTTATTAAATTGAATCTCATTTTTGTACTATCCGAGAATCTCAGAAATCAAGTCTCACTGAAAACAAAAATTGAAACCTAAGAGCCTTACGACAGCAAGTTTTATTGGTACATGTGGTACAAGTCCTTTTCACTTAAAAAGTCCAAGACATTGTAAACAGTGTTGCTACAGCAAAGGCATTTGGAATAACCTGAAAATACATCTGCAGCATGCACACTGAGAACTCCCCTCTCCCTTTTAATGTCAGTATTAGAATGTTCTTAGACTTGATACAAATTAGCTTAAGACGTTGAGGGGCTCCAGTCTATGACAGAATTTCCTTCAGTGTGAACACTGAGCTACAACTTGTTATTATAACCAGGAGCTCACAGTGCAAAAAACCAGCAGTTAAATTGCAAGGTTAAAACCAGAACCAAAGTGTCCAAAACAGCCTCTCTAAAGCTTGATGCGTATTATTAAAGTTTTAAGAACTTTAACAAAGTTTTAAGGACTTGGACAGGGCTCAAGAGACAAGAAGGGAATACAGAGGGATGGAAAAAAAAACATCCATCCACACAACTCAACTGCCTTGCACATCAGGAGAAAAATTCCTCCTGAAGCCTTCCTTATGGACTTTACTAACTCCCATTGCATGCCACACAAAAAAAGACCCATGATATCAAGTATATTTTCAACTGGTTGGGTGGTATTCCACATGGGATTTGCAAGGATTGCATTTAAAAATACAGCTACCATTTGGATGCCTTACCTCTGATTGCCAGCATACCACGGATTTCCCCCACTCCCCTCTCTTATTCAAATTAGTGTGCTGAAGAGTAAGCCTCTAAAAGAAGTGTTTGCTCTAACAATATCAAACACACCAAGTACTACAGAAACAGTATTTCCAGAAGAATTTTTATTTTCAAGGTATTTTAAAGGACAGCAGTGAGGCTAGCATTTCCCATAAAAAGCCAGCAAGCTCCCTCCCCATCCTGATATTTCCACGGACTAATTTTATACTCAGCACACTGAAGTTACCATGTTCTAGTCAACAGCAATGCAGAAAGAATAATTAGTTCCTGAAATGTCATCTGCATGGCTAGAGAAAATTAGTAGCCAGGGCATCCAATTCTGCTTACCAGGATTGGTGAAGCGAGTTCCCGCCTTGTTCCTGGGGCAGAGCAACCCTGCAGGACCATAACCTGCTTTGATTGCAACATCACAATCCTGACACATCCTTCCTTGCAACCAACTGCATGGACTTGGTAGATAATCCACAGCAATTCAATGGTGACTCGCTATCCCAAGGTCAACTTCATAAAAACAGGGATATTTGGTCATCAGAACAGTAAATGCAACATGTTCAAAATAGACCAAGACAACGTTAACTGGCCTGTGCCACCCCTGTGGCTCTACAGGTTGAAGACACTGTTGGGAATTCTGCTCCCTACTCACAGATGGTTCTCAAAATCTTGTAAGCCTGTAAAATTGTTTAGCAGCAACCTATATCAAGAAAAAAAAATTAAGACCACAGCTACAAAGTAAACAAGGTCCCAGTAGAAGACCTATTTATTAACAATTTAGTGCATGTGACTTATATGTGACTTGTTTGTATAACCCAGCAATTAGATGTGACAATAAATACGCAAGTGTTTACTACTTGCCTAAACCCATCAGCCTACCAATAAAGCAAGAAAATAAAGGCTACATTTTTTTCAGCTGGAGATCATAAGGCATTCTGACTAATGACCTTCAGATTCCTCCTTGCCATGACCAAACATCACTGCAAGCACACAACAGACATACATCACACACTTCAAAAGTTTTAGGTGGGCCTTAGCTTCAAGACCACCAGTACCTTGCTGTTTAATTTCCAAGGGTTAGTTTCCTCTGGCAGTGGATGAACATTGGTACATTTTTTAGCTTGTAAACTACCCTCAAGATTTGATATGAAGTATTCATTACAGTCCTTGGCTTTTGGTTTCTCTACAGAGAACCTGCCAGATGGTTTGTAAGTGACTCATGCACTTTGAGACCACCCCCTTTACCCCAAAGGGGAACAGGTAAAAAGATGCCTTTTCCCCTCAGCACACGCAGGGGCCTTACCCTCACTGAGCACCACAGAAAGCAGTGCAGCAGGAACTGGTGTTACTGGCAACTAACTTGCAATGCACCTGCCTCCAGCTTTTATTTGAATACTATTACTTGAGAACGACTTTAACAAACCCTTCCCCTTGCTGTAACAGTAGCTGTTTTCACAGCACTCAGTCCTTACATAGCTTACTTGTTACTTTTAAGATTCAGAAATGTAACTTAGGGTTCAGTTTTCATAACAAGAGCACTATATATCCAAATACTACTGTACTTCCAAGCAACCAGCATTTTCCAGTGTCTGGTGAAAACCCAAACACAGCAGGTAAAGCTTCTTGCTGCCCAAATCTACCCCAGATTACCAGATGACCCCACGAACAAGAAGCGAGCAGTCCACGTCTGTAGCACCAGCCCTGGCTGCAGCAGCCCTGCACAGAGCCACCTCTCCACTCCAAGCAGCTCTGCCTAGTCTGTCACGTCTGCAAACCATCCAGAGTCCAAGAAAAATTTGGATGCTTCACCAGCTCCTCTTCCCCTGGCTCCAGGCACCCCTAGACATGCAGGTAGGTGGAGGGGAGAAAGACCCAACAACTGTTCTGCTGCCTTCACTCCGTATATTACAGGCTCACTTTCAAAGGGCATATCTCACCACAAAGCTTGCTGCAACTCAATTCTCTCACCTGCTGTTCTTGCTCAAAGACTAGCAAAACTCTTTTAGGGCAGTACCTTTTGATTTATACACACATCCATGCAATGCATAGCTCTCTATCACTACAGAAGCAAAACCTACAC